CATAGGGATCCAAGGCTAGGCTCACCTAGCCTAGAAAGACCCAGCCTCAAAATAAACAAAGGAAGAGGAAAATAAGGAATCCAGTATTCTAGACTAATAAAACCCATATCCTGTTTCTTGTTGCTGCTGTTTGAGACACAGTTTCTCTTGTAGCTGCTTTTGCCTATCCATTGCTGGAATTAAAAGAATGGGCCTTTATGCCGGGCAGCGGTGGCACAGGCCTCTAATCCCAGCACTTGGGAGGCAGAGGCAGGCGGATTTCTGAGTTCGAGGCCAGCCTGGTCTACAGAGTGAGTTCCAGGACAGCCAGGACTACGCAGAGAAACCCCGTCTCGAAAAACCGCAAAAAAAAAAAAAAAAAAAACCCACCACAACAAAAAACCCAAACTAACAAACAAACAAAAAAAGAATGTTCCTTTATACCTGATCGAACCCATCTCTTTATCTGCTTCTCAAAGACTAAGACCTAGCAAATTGCTGGTGAGACTTACTTGTTCAATTAACAAGACATCTAAAATGTATTAAATATGCCTGGAATTAATGACTGAACTGGGCATAGTGGTATGTGCCTATTCCAACACTTGGGAGATTGGAGTCAAAGACTTAGGAGTCCCCATCAACCAAAGAACATACACGGCCTGGACCTAGGCCTCCCCGCTCATATGTAGCAGAAGCGCAGCTTGACCTTCCTGTGAGTCCTGAACAACTGGAACAGAGGCTATCCCAAAAGCTGTCGCCTGTACATGAGATATGATCTTCTAACAGGGCTGCTTTGTCTGGCCTCAGTAGGAAAGGAAGCACCTAGCCCACAGACTTGAAGTGCTAAGAGGTGGAATGGGGGTGGGGGTGGGGGGGCAGAGGAGAAGGGTGACCAGGAGGAGGGCAGTGAGCAGGATGTAAGGTGAATAAATTAAAAGAAATTAAAATTAAATTAAAATTTTCAAAATTTCCAATTCCACATACACAAAAAAGATGTAGACTCAGGAGTCCCAAATTATTCTTGGCTATTTAATAAATTTATGGACAGCTTGGCATATCTGAGACCCTGTCTCAAAAAAAAAAAAAAACCCTAAATCCAAAGCCTGCAATATGGCTCCACAGGCCCTACAGGCCTGGAGAACTAATTTCGATCTGTGGGACCATTTAAAGATATTTAAGGATAGAAGAAAACCAAGTCTATCACGATGCACAATGTTCTCTGACCTTCATATTCAGTTTGGCAAAGCAGGCTTACACACACCAACACACACACACACACTGAAAAGAAAAAGTAGGGAGAGAGGGAGAGAGGAGGGAAAAAGGACTTTAAAACTCAGGATTTTTTTTAAAAATCCAAACAAAACCAAAAACTGAACCTCCCGGGTTCCCTTATTTATTTTATTTTTATTTTAACACTGAATTATGCCATGTTGCCCTGGCTAGTGGGCAACTCACTATTGTAGACCAAGCTGGCCTTGAACTAACAATGATCCGCCAGCCTTGCCTAGAAAATTCTAGAATTAAAGGCTTCGCCCAACCCAGCCTCTAGATGTTTAATAACAAACAAACAAACAAATCTATTTCCTCTTCCAGGAGGGGGAAAAAAAAAACCAGTGAAGGTCACTTTGCCGCAGGGAAACTCGGCTCAGAGGAAGCTGGGTGGGTTGAGTAAGGATTCTCCCTGGGTGGGGGAGGGGGTATCAGAGCCTCCCTGTCCAGGGGGCCAATGAGCCTTCAGACTATATAAGAACCTAGAGCCTACCCCTATCTCAGAGGCTGCTTCTCCACATCAAGAGTGCTGCTTCTGCCCGGTTCTCTGAGCCACCTCCTGCTTGCTGCTTCTCTCATAGGAAAGGTAATCTTTAAAATATTTTCTTTTTCCTCCAGGTCTGCGGCTGAAATCTACTTTGTTCAGGGAGGTAAAGTACGACCAGAATTTCCAGAGGTCTTCCTGCTATTTAATTTAGCCATGCTGCCCTTTAACTCAGATCTGCCTGTCCCTCTGCCTCCAGATTAAAGGTCACCATGGCCTGCTTTTTTAAGTCTTTCCACCTTTTTTTACAATCTTTAAAAGGCAGTCTTAAATCTTGGCCTCCATGGTTCGGCTGGGTTCTATGGCGGAGGCAGACCTGAAGTTGGTTCGTTTGGTCTCCAGCAACGAAATTTGGGACTTACTGTGTGTGGGGAAAGGGGGTTGGTTAACTTACTCTCAAAGGGACTTCTTAGGCTTTGTGGGGAAAAGAGTCGGGAATAATTGCCGTCCACTACAAACCAAGGCAGGGAGTCTCCTGAGCATGTCAACCAGGTCCGAGGCTCATCAATAGACCCTAAGTGATCGAACCCGGAATCTAACTCTTGACTACTAACCCTGTTCTTTATTTCTTTTCATCCAGGTTTTCTGATCAGTTTGGAGTGATGGATGTTCTGCACACTTGTTGGAAGATGGTTTTTAACCGTGAACCGTCTCACCTTGCAGTACTCAAACTATGGGGGCACTTTTTTGTTATTTTAAAAAGTGCCGCCAGGTTTTAAGTCCTGCCAGTTGAGAAAACGGCGACCAGACCAGCCACATCTAAAGGTTTTGGACATAAGCACCCCGGTACCACGTGTTCCCGGTTAACTGCAGTGCTTTGGGAGCTGGGATTCAGGGCAAGGAATGAGGCTGGAAGGTTAAGGGTGGACACACCTTGCCCAGTAACTGAGGTAGTCGTAGGGGACCTGGGGAGTCCATATGCGCCACGTCGCGGCTTGGAGCTGTTGAATCCCAATGTAGTGGCCATCAAAGTGGAGGCCCTCTCTTGATCCTGGACGAGAAAGTGCTTCCACTTTGTGTGCTACTGCTTGGGGAAGACATCTGTTAGACGCCGCTCTACCTGACTTTCAAAATGAGCAACTGAAAGCAACTGTTAGGCTTGAGTTTTAGTGAGTGCTATCCTATTGGGGCCGGATTAGTAAGGTGCAATGAGACCCCGATAGCTCAAGAATCTGGGTGTGTGTATTGTGCTGCTCCATGTCTTTAAGGTATTATTAGCCCTAGACCTCCAACCTGTGACACTCAAACTGGGGGCTCTTTTGGATTTTCTTTGGAAGAAAAGTGCCGCCAGGTTTTGAGTGTTACCGGTTGAGAACGCAACAACGGCTGCAAAGCCAGCATCATGTGTTTTCACTGGGATTGTGCTGCTGGGTGTCACAGGTGGTCTTCATGAGTCACAGCACCTGGGCACATGCGGGACTAAAGGCCTTCCGCATTCCTAAAGGAGCCGGAATCCGCACAGGCCCTGGAAGGGTGCTGAGCTCAGGTCTTGGAAGTTAAAAACACCCAGTGTCCATCAAAGTGGAGGCCCTCTCCGTGGCTTGGCGGGAAAGTGCATCCATTTTGTTTGTCTCTGGGTGTACATGGCGTCTGGAAAGCCCGGTGCAACTGCAAGCTGGAATTCCTTACCTGAAAGACACTTAAGGTATGTGCTGGAGGTGGGATTCCTTTCCACTGGATACTGGAGAGCTTCCGTGAAGAGGAAGCAGGGTGGATCGTGGGAGGAGGCCCTCAAACGGGGCCCGGGGTGGTGAGTCAGGTACTCAGTTCTCAGTACAGGCCTACTTTTAATCTCAGGTGGCTGCCATTTCTTAAAGTTGTATTAATTTTTTTATAGGATTTGAAGGTTGGAGTTCCGCACGCGGTCAGCCTGACTATTTTCAATCTGCACCCTTCCCGCCCCCCTTTGGGGTTTTAGTTCTTACCTCTGCCTGCCAGGTGCTAAAGGTTGCAGGGGTTTTTTTTGCTCCGGGGCACAAGGAAGCTTGGACAGCCAGGGGGTTGCTATGGTGAAATTATATATGGTATACACTTTGGCTTTCCAATGGGCGGGAATGTTTGTTCTAAAGGAGCTCAGGCTCTGGATATCAGGGTAGCTTCCCATGAGGGCTGGCTGCTTAGCCTGGGCTACCTACCTCCAACCTGAATGTCTGGCTAAGTTATGAAACTACTAAAGTCTTGTCACAGCCCCCTTTGGAAATCTTTCAACCTGTGATACTCAAACTGTGTGACACTTTTTGTTCTTTGGAGGAAGTGCCGCAAAGTTTGCAGTGTTACCGATTGAGAACTGCCCCTGGGGAAGGGTTGTGTGGCTGCCCACCTGGTGGCACTCAAATGGTAGGAGCGCTCTTCTGATCTCCTGTAAGTGGAAAGTGTTGCATCATTTGGGTGTCATCTGTGGGTACATTTCACAGGTTTCCAGTGGACTTCTTGCCTCCCAGGGAAGCTGCAACTGGGGCTGGCAGTAACTAAAAAACCCAAAAGAAGTGCCCACACCAATATATGCTTCATTGAAAAACTAATTCATCTTGGGATTGAGCCATCTCTTGCAGTCATGTTGGAGGATCTTAAACTCCCATATAGCTATGCTCAAAATGGAGGCCCTATCTAAGCTTTAAAGTGGAAAGTGCTTCCATTTTGTGTGTTGCTGTGTGGAGAAATCATCAGAACTTCAATCAGTCCTGGACTTGCTCATTTTGGTGGGACTCAAAAGTGTAGCACGCTTCTGGACTTGTGCATAGAAAGTGCTACTACTTTTGGGTATCTCCTGTGAGCACCACTCCCTGGACCTTCAAGTTTCTCCAACCATTGGGAGGAGGGGATAATGGATTCTAGCTGCAGGCTGGTTTAGTTTTGAACAGGCTGTCAGTCCAAGTAAGTGGCTTAGCATACCAAGGGTGTGGATCTCCCATCTCCCAGAAACAGATTATAGGTGTGCTAGCAGTGGGCTTGCCATGTGCTCTTGTTTCTCTTGTGTCTTATATAGCTAACATGGCAGCTAAGTGCCCAGGGCAGAAATAATTAGGTCTCCAGGTACTGTGCTGGTGTTTCAAACAGTTCATTTTTTCCTGTTTATCTGCTTTTGGAATCCAGATGAAGGTTCCCTGGAACTGGACTGCCATGTGGGTGTGAGCCAAGGTCCTGGAACCACTGAGCCATCTCCTCCCCAACCCCGAATTTAATGTTTCAATAAAGTCTTGTTCTCAACTTTGCTTTCAGGTTTTTTATTTACTTCCTGCTGGGGTTTGGCTGGGTTTTGTGGTTTTCTAGGGATGGAACTGCATGCTTGCAGGCTCCTTAGCCCATTTTGAGGCAGATATTTGCTATTTAGCTCTTGGTTTTGTATACTTAACAGCTTTATGGCTTTATTTATGTGGTCTGCATCACTAGGCTGCAGAAGCTTCAGGGTCTCAAGCTAGAGGCTGTGGGTGGATGCGGGGCTTAATGGGGATTAAAGCTGGGAATGGGTGGGGGGGTGGGGGGAGCTTTTAGAGACAGCCCTGACTAGGAATTCTGAGCTACACTTGGTTAAGGCTGCCACCACTCCAAAGGTTTTTAGGGGAAGAATTCCCCCCACTGACTAGGCTGGCCTCCTGGATGCTAGGGTTAAATGTGCCACTATCCCTGGCCACATGCTGCTTTTATAATTGAACCCGTGAATGTGCATTTCTGACCCTCATGCTTGATGCCTGGCTCTATTCCAGGCCATTTTAACATTGTATATGAGTATCCTGTATGAGTTAAGTGCAGCCTCTTGGGAGGGCATCATCAGATCCCATTACAGATGGTGGCGGGCCACCATGTGGTTGCTGGGAATTAGGACCTAGTTTTCACCCAGGATGTGAGCCATTAGCTGCCCTCAAGATGTTGAAAACAAATAAGGGTCCAGGGTTTCACGCATACTGGTTTTCCAACTGGTCCACTTTTCCAGACAGGTTTATACCTTTTTAGGCCTCATTTGTGTCTCTGGGGCCTCAGCCCAGATTTGAGTACAATTTTGAGACAAAATTGACAAGATTTTCCAAGGATATGCAGGAAGCAGCATGGCCTATCTGCAGGGACTCCTGCTTGCTATCTCTTGTACTATGCACAAATAATTGTTGGTGTCTAGCCTGGCTGTAATTCTACACTTTAGCCAGTAGGTGGTAACCTTGACCCATGGAAACATCCAGGACTCAGCTGCAGCTCCATCAAAGGTCTCAGATCATACTTCGTCAACCTGTACTTAGTGGGCCTCCTGACCGAAGACAGGTTTCTTAGCTGGTTTCTGAGGATGATCTTGAATGATCTTGTCTCCAAGTGCCTCATAGCTGAGAGAATAAACATCCTGGTCTGGTCCATGTTCTCTGCATTACTGCTCAGCACCCAATATCCAGGTATGGTTTTGTGACTCGAAGTGCTGCCATCTTCCTGAGGGTCATTTTATTCAGGTCCATTCCAAACAGCCTGGGGACAAGCATGGGACTGTCAGTGTGGTGACTTAAAAGACTGCGTCCTGGTATGCTGCATTTTAGCCTGGAAAAGTAATCTCAAACATTGGCTTGATTGAATGCTTCCTGTTCTTGCACAGGGCTAGGGTTCAATTCTACATAAAGCCATTTTTGAATCCAGCTCCCAGGTATAGGACATCCTCTTGCCCCTGGTGCCAGCATGCATATATACACATACATTCATATGTAGGCATAATTAACATATATTAAGTGCATGGGCATCTGAGACAGGATAAAGGCTTTTCCTGCCTTTGGTATTCAGAGAGCACTGATTTCAAACTTGGCCTCAGACTTTACAAGCAAGTGCCGTGACATACAGGTACATAGTGCAGTGTTAGATCATGGGTACACTTCAGTGCTTTACTGCTGAGCTGCCTTCCTAGCTCACATATTAAGACAGGGTCTCACTAAGCTGCCCAGGCTGGCCTTGAACTTGGGATCCTCCTGTGAAGCTGGGATCCATATTCCCAGGTTTTTTTTGTTTAATTATTGTATGCCATGGTGTGCTTCGGGGAGGCAGAGATCAATTTGTACATTCTCTCCTACTCACGTGGGTCCTGAGGACTGAACTCAGGTAATCAAGGTAGACACTAAATGCCTTAATTTGCTGAGCCACTCATCAAGCCTTTACTTTTCGGTTTGATGCATATCGGTATTTTGCATACGGGTATGCCTGAACCACCTATATGCAGTGCCAGTGGAGGTCAGAAGAGGTTGTGAGATCCCCTGGATCTGTAGTTATAGGTGGTTGTGAGCCACTGAGTAGGTTCTGGGAGCGGGGTTCTCTGCAAAAACAAGGGCTCTTAAGCATAATGCCCTTTACTCCCAATTTTTTGTTTGCCTGTTTGAGACAGGGTCTCCTAGCAGCCTTGGCTAGCCTGGAGTGCTGGGTTAAAATATGTTCCCAGCCACACCCAGCTCCTTACTCCTGATTTTAAGTGTCTTCAGTCTTTCATAAGAACTTTAAGAAAATCCTACTTGTACTGACTGTTCTTCCAGAGGTTCTGAGTTCAATTCCCAGCAACCACATGGTGGCTCACAACCATCTGTAATGGGATCCAATGCCCTCTTCTAGTGTGTGTCTGAAGACAGTGACAGTGAACTCATGATAAAAATAAATCTTAAAAAAGAAGGAAGGAAAGAATACTGCACCAAGCTTGCCATTTTGGGATTCAGGAGGCTAAGACAGGAGGATGGAAAGTTTGAGGACTAGTTAATGAGGCTGTAATTTCCAGGTAGCATGTACTTATCTTATACCAAATTCCATGAGTGAAATAGCTTCATGTTTGCCTATATAGTTTTATTTTTATCATTTACATATGTGTGTGTGTGTGTATATAAGCTCAGAAAAGGGGTGGAACACTAGAAGCCAGAATTACAGGTGGCTGTAAACCACCTGGCATGGGTGCTAAGAACTGAACTCGGGTCCTCGTGTAAGTCCTTTTAACTAACTACTGAGCTCGCGCGCTCTCTCTCTCTCTCTCTCTCTCTCTCTCTCTCTCTCTCTCTCTCTC